CGACCCCCGGGGGTGTGGCTTTGAGAGCAACCCCCCCCCCCCCGACTCCTCCAAACGAAGAAACAAACAAACAAAAAAGATAGTGGAACTGGCCATATGGATAGTCTCTCATGTTTAGTACATCAGCTCAGGATGTTTCTTTCACATGTGTTTATTCAGTATCTTTCACCAATACTGAATTAAATACTCATTCTAGCTATAGAGAAACAGTCATTTATTTTTACTTAAAGACATATTTTTCTTTTTCATGCAAATATCTTACCAAAAAAGGCAGACTGTAGATGAGATTATGATGAGCAATGAAGAGAGAGCAAGAGAGATATTGAGAAGAAACAATGGCAGCTCTTGACATTAGGTAGCGTATCAGTGGGCAGTGAAGGTTTACTTGCTGCTTAATTCATGGGATAGAGTTTAGGAAGTAAGAAGCAAGGTGAGAAGGAATATGATTGAAGAATGTGATGCTTTTTTCTACTGAAAATATGATATCTGAGAGAGTCAGAGAGGTTGTTAGACTCAGAGGATGAAGACCTGTGAGATGAATGGTGAGAGTGGGAGTGGTATGAATAGTGAGATGAATGGTGGGAGTGGGAGTGGTATGTTGTTGAAGATGATACTGACTTTTACAGAGGAGAAGACAGCTTCTTTTGGGTACTAGGAGCTGAGAAGGGAGGTGCACAGATAATGAGAACAAATATTTATGATGTTTTCCATCTTTTAACAGGCATTTCTATGAAATCAGTTGTTATTGGAATCACCATTTAAGTTATATTGAATATTCAAATAAACAGAATATGAGAAAAGCTAAGTCTAATTATATGTTTCATGCCATTTACAGTGGTTTCCAGGGGATTTTCTTTTAATAAAAGTGCAATGCATCAAAAAGAGTAAATCCTACAATTTTGTTATTTACAAATCAGCTTCTGCTGTCTAAAGCTGACCAGCTTATTCTTCATTTTAAATTCTCCCATTCGTCCAAGTATGCACACAAAGTACTGATACTTCTGAGAGTTATATTCAGATATCAAGTATACAACATTTTATTCTCCTTACCTACCAAACAGCTTGATCAAAAGAAAAGCATTCTACAATCCCCAGATTGCCTTTTTAAAATCAACATGTTAGGAGTTGTTAAGATATTTGTTTAATAAGAGGTAGAAAGAGTGCCTCAGTCCTTTCCACCTTTCCTTGAAGTGTTCAGATCTGCTATAAAGTATAGAAGAACATGTTGTTATAATAATACATGACAGTTTCAGCAAGCAAAAAGTAAGTCGGTAGAGCCCCAGCTCTGCCATGTACAGAATCTGTACACACACTCTGAACACCCATTCCTGTGGCTAGGCCTTATTTGTAGCATTTGCAATAACACAACATGCACTACTGCCTACAGTTGTTCCCCAAGTTTCGAGTGCTTAGGGTTGTGGTTCTCAAACTTGTAAGACTCAAGGCGCTCCTTGGAAAATGCCAGCTCTTAGCTCTTGTCATTTCTTGACTACAGAAAAATAGAGCAATTCTTCTGTTGCAAAGAACTCCGAAAGACCACAACCAGTCATAATGTTTTCAACACTATAGATTCCTATTTAAAATCTCTGGGTTTATCTTGTGAATTGTGTAGGTGTTCACACACCTAGTACTGCCCCGGTGGCATTCTTGAAAGTGGGGGGGTTGGAGGTCAGCAACGTTTTCATTATGTGTGCCACAAATTAGCCCTGTGCTGTCTCTAAGTGCCACTCTCATCCCCTTCCTCTGCTTGATTTGCTGCTCTGGTTTTTGCTCCTTGCCCAGTCTGTTGCTCTGCTTTCTTCTTCCCTACTGTGCTCCCTGCCTAATCTTCTCTTCTGCTTTTTCCTTCCTGATCAATCTTCCACCGTGCTGCCTGTCCCCTCCCTGATTCGCTGCTGAAGTACCCTGTTGAGAATCACTGACCTAGAGTTATCTCTAGCCAAATCACTTGTTCTTTGGTCAAAAGGGGACCAATTGCTTTTATTTTCTGTTTGGAGTCAGTAAGATCCACCAGCACTTCCACCGCATCATCATGAAGATTTCAAACACTTGCTAATAAGATGATGCAGAGTCTTCATCCTTTTGCAAGGACCTGGAGTTGTCATCTTGCATGTATCACTGCTTCACACTCTTTCTTTATGTTTCATTCTTTGAAAAATGGTTAGCAGCTTGTTTATCTTAAAAATATAAAATCTTTTGCTGATTCTTTTTAACCCCCCATGTTGGTTGCATTTAGAATCAGTCTGCTCTGACTCCAGATTATTTAGGGATTGATTTTTTTTCATGTTTACAGTGCACTGTATCAATCCTCAGTAACTCAACCTACAGCTAATATTTACTTCATTATATCATTTATAGGAGATGGAATGTGGCCCTTCTGACTTTATATTACTTATCTAACTAAGGATTGCTGGATGGAGTCTAAAGATCGTGAACTGGGACTTCAAGCTTACCCTTCATATTGAAGATGGAGGAAAAGGTTGAATATACTGTTCAATATTCATCCTTTTTTAACTTTGGTTGAATCAGTAGAGTTAGTTGGAGGAGAAATTGGGGCATGCGTTATGCTGTGACAATTAAAATATTACTTGTGAGAGTATGGAGGAAGAAAAAGGATGATGCCTGAGAGAGTGTCTTGTAAGTATGTTTGACTGAATCAATGCAGGCGTGATATGAACATGAGCTGAGCAAGATTTACTAAGGTCTTAAGATTTGAATTGCAGCAGTCCTTGCCATTCCAGCTTGGGCCTCTTTCCTGAGCAGACACTTCCAGTTGTGCCAAACTGTATGATTGTTTTGGGATATGGATAAATGTATGCTAGGGACCAAATTAAGGACACTAAACTCAATTTTCTTAAGACGTGCCAGATTTTTGTATTGCAGCTGTCCAGAGGTGAAAGGCTAATGAGGACATAAGGAATTCCTGGACGGGAAAAGGACACTTGGCCCAACAAGTCTGTCCCCCTTCAAGTTTATTACAACACACCTCCCGGTGTTGTCAATATATCCTCTAACCCTGTCTGCCTATATAAACATGTCTGGCTATCTCTTAAATTCATTAATAGTTTGGTTCACTCTGTGGTTTTATTTGACATAATGCCTACTATGCTATGAATCACACAGTTCTTCATGAGTTTGCTGTTTATTCTTAGATTCCCAATTTTAATTGGCATACTCTGGTCCCTGATTTTTTTTTTTTAACTCATCAGTGTCAACATTGTTATCTTCTTAGTGCCATTTCTTCAGTCACTGTCCTAACTGTAAACATGTTCATACTGTCTCCTTTAAAAGATTCCAGTATTAGGCTCAGCCTTCACAGTAAAACATGATGATTGCCTGATATCTTACCATTATTTGGATTACTAAAGTTCTTCTGTAAAAAGCGATGAAATGGGAGCGCTGGACATCTCTCGTGTCACTTGTGCAGTGACAATGTCTGCTTTTTTGACTGACGTTCTGTTCCTCTGCTGACATCTTCATACCACACTTTATTGACACAGTTTGACACTGTTTAGCAGAGGACATGCCATTTTTGAAGTAGAATAAAACTTTCAGAACCCAGATTAACTTAAAGTAAGAACCCTCACGGATCTGGAAATGCCTTTGAAAGCCAACTGGGGAAAGGCTCTCTCCACTCAGGTTAACAGCAGTCTAATAAAAGGCTAGCTCTGAGAACAGAGCTGTATGGATTTACAACTCATTTATAATAAAAAGGGACTATATCTCTTTAAATTTTTTGCTAATAAACTGAAGAAGTAATTAGCATACAGATGCATCCCTTTGACAGCAGACTTTTAAAAAAAAACTGATATTTCTTCTTTGCAGCTGTGTGAGGCAACCCAAAGAGGAATGAAGTTAAAAGTTTGAAGAACATCATGAAGAGAAAAAAAAAACCTGAGCCGCAAATAAATATGCAGTGTCGAGATTTCTTAAGACCACCAGTTAACAAAACCAGAAAGGCTATGCCTGGTGAGATATGCATGCGAAGCAGAGAGAGTAGATTGCCACATTGCGAGATGGAGAAAAGGTTCCAAGTTTTCAGTGTCCAAAAGTGTGTTGAAATCCAGAAAATCATTATACTTATAATTGTTTGTGAAACCGCTCTGTGCTGTTTGTATAGGAGAGAAATGCACTCAAATAATAAAAAAGGTTTTAATTTGGGGAATAAAAGGAGACAAAATTTAATGGAAATTGTTTAAGAGAGGAAAGTCAGCATCCAGATGGGAAACAGTGAGGCCTTATTCAGCAACTAAAGTGATGGCGTAGGTTTTACCAGGAACTGTGAGAGACAGAGCCAGACACACAGGGAAGGAAAAAAAAACCTGTTAACTAGTATCAGGCAGTTGAGAGAGCACAATTTAGACTAAGGACAATTCATGGGTATGCATTGACTTTAGATGGCTTGATCCAGTGTATAATGTATGTCTGCAAGGTGTAGAAGATTTCCAGCTCTAATTGGGGATCTACAGTTAGTGAGAAAGAAACCAGCAAAATACGCCTAAAAGAACACACTTGAACCTTTGGGTTTGGTTTTGGTAGATTTATTCAGACATCAGGCTCTAGGAATAGGGGAAGTTAAAGACATTTATAGTGTGAATCCTTAGATTTTAGTGAGAGTTTGCAGTCATGGTCTAAATGTGAGGTTTCTTCTGGGAACTGGGAAAAGCAAAATAAGGTTAAGCTGGTGTAGTGGTAACCACTGTGCTGTGTTCGAGCCCTTCACTGTTGTGATGCTTCCTGTGTTAATATAAGGAAATGATTTATAAAAACACGTATAAGGAAAAGTGAACATTAGAGTTCTCGTAGCTTTGACTAATACTTATGAAGACAAATCCTGATCTTGCTCATGGAAGATAGTCCTCTGAAATTGGTGTAGTACATATTCAGCAAGACCAACAAACTTTGATCCATAGTTTAAACCAGCTATTTGAAGCAGCTGGGAGAGAACCTGGATTTGAACATGGAAAAACTATCTATGTTCAAGGCCAACTCTTAACTGATGCAAAATTTAATTTAAATTTGAAGGCTGAGAGCACACAACATGCCCTTAATGAAACCAAGCAAGCTTCAGTGCAGTTACCCTGAGCAACAAAGCAATCATTAAAGAATTTTAGTGAAATAAAATAGTCAATGGTCCAGATGCTGGTCTTTGTTATACTGGTGGAAAGCTAAAGTAGGTCCATTCAGACCTGGGCAGTTGCTCCAGATTTTTACAGGAATTATTTCTATCAGAAACTGGAACAAATATCCGGGTTCCAGCTTGGGAGGCTGGACTTCATATCTGGGCGTTCTGAAGTTTCAGGTCACTGAAGTTGAGACATTGGAGGGGTGATGAGGAATATTCTGAAAAGCTTATCAGTGACTTTGACCAGAATCATGAAGACATTTTAGGTATCTAGGGCTAATCTACAAAGAGAGCTTTGAATCAGCATTGCGGCACCTAACTTTTAGCTGCCTCATGGAATCTACAGCCCTGAGTTAGGTCCTAGGCTCCTCAGACAATATATAAGGAGGGTCAGGTTCCTAAGACGACTTCTTCACTAGCATGTTTTGCTTGAATACTATGTCAGTTAAGAGTGTGAAAAAGACACTTCTCCCCCAAGCTGCTGTGTTTATGTCAGCAAGACCTCTGTTATAGGAACACCTAAGCTGTTAGAAGAGTACTTTTGTTGGCTTAGCTTACATCATTTGGAGAAGAAATATAGCTGTGCTGGAAGAAAGAGGACTCCTGCCATGATATGCCTCATCTCTGCTACGGGGCTCTGCTGGTATAGCTATAGGAACAGACTATAATATCCTAAGAATGGAATCTACAAATGCCAGCAGGAGCTGGTAAGTTAGATGATGGCAAACACTAAGAAGGTTGTGCCTTTAGCCCTGGCACTTTTTAAGACTTGGGCACTTTATTGTGGGGAAGCCAGGAAACATTTATCTCCAGCTGGAGTTCATGAAGCTTCTCCTTAAGTTAGGTGTTTATACAGTCATTTCTTATAGAACGAGGGGAGAGAGGAGAGTAGACACACCACTTCCCTTCCCTTCAAGTTAGTCACTTGCTTAGTAATGAAAGCACTCACTAGGTCCTGGGAGACCCAAATTACATTTCATCTTTGACCTTAGGAGATTTGATCCTGTGTTTCCCAACTTGCAAGAGTTGAATGGAATCTAATTTAAAATAAGAAGTTACATCTGATGCTTTATTTCTGGCTTCAAGACTTCTGTTTGTAAGAAGATATTCTGGACAGGTTATTGTGTGTTGTGACAGAAACTGGTTGATAGTTTAGAAATTGCATGAACTACTGAAAATAATTAGCACATTTATCTGACCACTATCTAACAATAATGTATGGGGGGTGGAGGGGGAAAGAAATAAAATATGGTGAGGAGTTCACTTGGTCTGAAATGCTCTAACTTGTGTGTGTATGTGTCTATTCACTCACACACATATTGTCTTTAAAATACAAGAAAAGCTATATGGACATGTGCAGATGTTACACTTAGATTGACCTAACTAAGGTTAGGACCTAATTAGGGTTAGGTCAATCTAAGTGTCGAACTGTACGCATTTGGGGAGTTTAGATCGGGTGAAAAATGGCTGGCCCAGTCTAATTTCCTTCACCAAGGAGGTGCATTATGTAGACTGGATTAACCTATGCCTAACCAAACGTGTATACATTTAGAGCACAGCCCTGGTACTGTGCTTTTTCTAGCTC